ATATATATATATATATATATATATATATATATATATATATATATATATACATATATATATATACATCGTCTAAGCTTGTGTAGAAACTAAGATACCACAAAACTTTAACTCTGTCTGTGTCTGATGCAGTTTTGTTAAAAACAAGCGTGTTGTTCATTCAGTAAAGTTGCACACACTGCACTAGCACCGTGGCATAACTTGGGCAACAGTGGCATAGATTAGCTGCAAACTTGGAGGGTTGCCAGTTAAAACCCCAGTTCCTTATGTTTTAGTATTTGTGTCTTTGGGCAACACACTCCACCCATATTGCTTACTGAGTCTGTGGGCTAAATAAGGACAGGGGGTTTACCTTTCTTTGTCTTTGATCTGCTTGTATTTGTTTGATCTTATTCTTGAAAGATTTTTATGATCTATTTTAAAGCACATTTGCTGTCTGGTTGGTTATTTTTATAGTACCTCATCATTAAGACTTCCATCAGGAATAATGAAATATGTTTTAAAATATCATTAACAAAACAAAATAAGGAAAAAGCTTAAACCACTGTTTGACTGCTGGTTTTGCAGAACAAATAGAATTTAAGTCTGTCACAAAACTGATTATTTTTAAATGATCTTCTAAGAGAGAACACAGACCAAGCCACAGATTTTAATGGCTTAGTCATCAAAGGAGGAAATTCGACCAACTTGTATAAAATTAGCATTTCCAAGAAGCTGTCTGCTTTTGTAACCGTAACCTGTCTGAGTGACTGAAGCTGCTATGTTCATCTGTAGAAATAATTAATTAATTACTATAAACAGCATAAAAATGTTAAACCATCATGCTGTTTAAAGAAGGGATTGGTCCTCTGTTCCTGATGTAAATGTGTTAGACTGTATGATGAAGTGGTCAATAAAGAATCACCTCAACTCCATAGAAATTATGCATTTAGAGCTGAAGGTGTGAAACTGTGGTGGTCTATTATGACTCAGTTACACCTGTTCTGCCAAGAGAGAAAAGTATTCAAGCAAACTGCTCTGACAAGCTTGTTTAAGAATACCGCAAATGTTTGAACCCAATCATACTTTTTGCAAGCCAGTTCTTTAAAAAACGAAAGAAATGTGTAGATTCCATAAAAAAAAGAATAAATAATAATTCTTGCATTTATTAAATAGAAATTATTTGGGTTATTCTGACCTTGTACAGAAAAATGTTAGCTTGAGTTATTCTCACGCAGTGATTAAAACACAGAGGAGCCCTTTATACATTTTGGAACATACATCTCATCTTATTATATCTGCTAAAAAAATAGCGTATTGTTCAGAAAACAACCCAAACTCCTGAAAACATAACTTCTCTTCTGTTTTATGAATCCTAATAGAAAATATTAGGATTGATGTCTTGTCCATCTGCTGGGATGGGGGATGCCGGTTCCTGGCATTGGGGGGGTGTCTGGGACATTGGAGGTTTTGGCCCAATCCTTGCAAAGGGGCTGGCTGACTGGTGTGACTGTATGGCAGGTGGGATACAATCACTGTGCCCAGATGCATCTCAGCTTGTGGTTTGGGTCTGCCATGCAAGGATGGGGGGACCCTGGGGGGTGTCTGGCACATGGACTGCGATGGCGGGCATGCAATCCTGGCCTAAGGTGGTGGACTACCTGTTATTGTCTGATGCCATGGGTATGAGAGGAGCGTATGGATATGGGGGCCTGGAACAGCTATGACTAGGTGAGGGAAGGATGTACTCTACGGAAGGTTGGCTACCTGCTCTGGCGAATGTGGGGGCGGGTGGGCAGTTTGTGGGGTTGTCCCTCCTAGGGGTGGTGTTTGGGGCAGATCTTGGCCTACACTGCTGCTCTCGTCCCCATAGTGCGCTCGGTTCTCGCTGAACTTCAGGAGAGAATTTGCTGCAGTGAAAGTAAAGATGCCAATTAATTTTGCACACCCTTATGTTCAGTTTTTTATATGTTAAAAAAGATCAAAATAATCCAGTACATTTCATTCATGATTTTGTCCCACTTGTTGATTCTTTACAAAAAAAAAATACAATTTGAGATCTCTATGTTAAAGCCTGAAAAGTGTCAAAAGGTCGGAAAGTTCAAGATGGACGAATACTTTTCCAAGGCACTGTAAAACATCTGAGCGCAAAAAGAAAGAACTGCTGCTAAAGAGACACATTTTTATAAACAGTGACATGCTTTGTGTTGGGGAATAAAGGCTGATTCCTGCCTTTCAGGTGAATTGCTTTCATCCAGCTGTCCACCTGAATGCCTCTGATCCTGTCGGCTTGAAGGTGTCATTTGGTCAAAAACTCGACGTCTCCCTGGTTGGCCTCCCTGATGCCACTGTCTGTCAGTGGAGTGGAGCTCAAGGCTCTCTGCTGAAAATGTAATCATAATATTGTTTTAATGAGGGCTTGGAGTATCCTCAATTTTAATCATTCAAATTGTGACATCTTCTTAAATTACTCCAGAGAAGAGCGTGTCTCCACGGTCATTCCACAAGCTTTAAGGAAAGATTCTGGAACATACAATCTGGGCTGTGAAAGTCTGAATGGGACCAGTTTCTCAATAACTGTTGATCTTCATGTAGGTGGTGAGTAGCAGCTTTGTTCCTTTTAATCCTCTTCTTTGCACAAAAGGGAGGAAAAAAATGTCTTTTTTACAAATGAGTTATTTAAATGAAAACCATGTTAAACCGTTTGACTCACGTTTCTCAGAATGTCCATCAAAACCACAGCTGACTCTGGATAAAATGGATAACCCCAATATGTCTCCCCACTTCAAATGCAAATCTGATGGTTCTCCAAGGCCCAGAGTTCAGTGGTCTGGGTAAGATGATAATGTTGTTCACATTTAATTTTACTACAAACTTTTTTTTTTATTCATCCTTTGACTCCTCGATTCATCAATGTTTCTTTTCAGTTCCTCTCAGGGGAAGAGAAAAGACCTCGATACTTGTGGAGCAGAGATCTCAGTCACAACTACTGCTTATTATGACACAGCAGCAGTGATGTGTTGCGCCTCTAATGATGAAGGAGAAGAATGCACCCAGCTGTGTGACTTAGGTAATTCCAAACAAATGAAAATAAGGCAGATCTTAGCCAAAGCTTTAGCTAAAGATGAACCCTGATCAGAGGGAATAGCAGCTCTCATCTTAGGACTTTTGTAAAATACACTTAAGTTGAATAACTTGAGGTGTTTTATGTTTCAGATTTAGAAGCTGATTCAATTAAACAAGATGAGATTTCTGATGTGATCGTTAGCCCCGGTGAGCCATTGATACTTCGCTGCAGGAGAAAATTCACTCGGGATTCAACAATTAACTGGCAACATGAAGGAAAGGTTTTGGTGGATAAAACAAATAAGGTACAGTATACTGATGAAACTATAGTTTCTGTTGTAGTATTAGTTTGCATCTAAATCAGTATATAACAGAACCTAAAAAGGAACTACAAAGTGTGTACAGAAGAGATAAACAACTTGACAAGTATGATGTTGGACAAATACTGAACCGGTCCCAGAAAAACTACTTTAAAGAGGATCAGGTCAGTAGTAGGCCGTGCTGGAAACCAGCCAGGGCTGAACAGGACAGGAGGCCTCAAGGGGATCCAATGTAGCATGAGCTTATGCTATTTATGTACTGATGTTTTTATGACTTAAAATATTATATAAATCAAATTAAACCACATTAAATTCCTCTAAATGATTAAATGTTTGTTTTTCTTCCAGTACCGAATTATAAAGGATAAACACTATGGCACTGAGATGCTGTATGCTTTCATAGCATCAGTTGCCATAGAGCACAACGGCTCATACACCTGCTACAACTCAAAAGGTGCAGCTAAATCTGTGGATGTCCATGTCACAAGTTAGTACCAGCTTTCTCCAAGAATACTAAATCTTAAGGTTTACGGTTTTATAAATGTGATTGATAATTAACTCCAGTTGAACAATGTGTCTTTTATTTTGTGTCTTATCAGCTGAGAGCTTTCTATCCTCCCAGTTGCCTAAACAGGTTATTGTAAATCACAGCAACTCCTGCTTAGAAGCAGAAGTTTCCTACCACCCTGTGCTCCATCACTGCTACTGGGAGGCTCCTGATGGGAGTCTTACTAAATGCAGCAGGAACCAGAGGAAGTTAAATGACAGGTAGTTTCATAAAGTCACTTTCTTTCAACCTCATTTACTGTAAGGGTTATTCTGGAATATTTCTATATCTGTTTTCTATGTTCACCCACAGCAGTGTCTATTTTTTTTTTTTGTATTAGTATTTTATTTGTATTTTATATACTCTAATAATCCCAGAGGGAAATTACTTCTCTTCATTTAACCCACCCCCTTGGGGAGCAGTGGACTGCCATTGTGCGGCGCTCGGGGAGCAGTGTGGTGTTAAGGGTCTTGCTCAGGGAGCTTTAAGGTTTCTTTGAGAAAATTAGTGGACAAAATATAACTGAAAGTCCAAGGAAGAGAGCAGACAGGTCAGGGAGAAAATGCAGTTTAATATATAAAGCTTAAAGTTTAAAGCAGGATGGTGTTTAAAAAAATGTCCAAATATTGAAACATTTCAAAGAGCTTTGTCTATTTCAGTATTTGACTGTGGGAACTGTATGTCACAACTGTAAGTGTCAGAAAAGCATCTCTGAGCTAGAAAGCCCATGGTAACTTTGCAGAAGCTGCAGAGCTCTACAGCTCGGTGGGGAAAGTTAGTTCTGCACTTTATAAACCTGACTTCACTTGAAAGAAAAAGTGGCAAGAGCAAATTATTGGAAGAAAACTAATATTTATAAAAATCTTAGAACTAGACTGTTGTTTAAAAAAAAAAGAAAAGTTAATAAAGTTCAATTATTAAAGTTAGATTATTATTAAAAGAGTGGCTCTTAAAGATGGATTCACAAACATTAAATTATAGGATGCAGGAATTTTTTTTCTTTCCTATTATTCAGAGCCCTGATAGAGAAAGGATTCTACTTTCTTTAAATCATATAACTCTGTTTAATATGCCATTATTTTCTCAGGACTGTGAAGTATTGTAATAAACTCCAGTCAGGAGAATATATGCTACACCTGGAGGCTGGAGGGAAAAAAGAAACAAAGAAAACAGCAGTTTGTGTTGTAGGTAGGTAAACTCTGTGTCAGTGTTCTCATACTTCCTCTTTATCCAAGACGGGGTCACAGGGCAGCAGTCTCAGCAGACACTCCCAGCTCATTTTGTCGCTTATATCTGGGATCTCTTTCTTTTATCATGATCCAGATTTCACGACCATAGGTGAGGGTAGGAACATATTTGCATAGCTCTCTCTTTACCACAACAGAGTGGTGCAGGGTCACCACTCTGTTGCAGGGTCACGATCAGAATATCAAAACCGTGCTCCATTCTCCCCTTACTCATGAACAGGACACCAAGATACTTGAACTTCTCCACTTGAGGCAGGAACTTTCCTCCAATCTGAATGGGACAACCACTGTTTCCCCATAGAGAACCATAGTTTTGAACGTGGAGCAGTTGATTCTCATCCCCATCCTTCACACTCAGCTGTGAACCGCCACAGTGTATCATAATGTAGCTCTTGGTAGGAGGGAACCAGCAGAACCACATCATCCACATAAAAAAGTGATGAGATACCCTGGTCCCCAAACCAGACCCCCTCTGGGCCATTTTTGCACCTAGAAATTGAGTCTATAAAGGTTATGAACAGGACCAGTGACAGAGGGCAGCCCTGTCAGTCCACCAGGAACAAGTCTGATTTAATGTCAGCAATGGGAGACCAAACTCCTTCTCTGTTTGTACAGAGACTGGATGGCACCTATGTAGCAAAGAGACCCCAAGTCCATTCTCCTGAGGCGCCCCCCACAGGGCACCACCAGGGACTTGGTCTAAGGCCTTCTCCAGGTCCACAAAAACATGTGAACTGATTGGGCAAACTCGGAAACCCTGCAAATTGTGTCTTGTCCCACCGTTCCATGGCCAGGGAGAAAACTGCACTGCTCCTCCTGAAGCTGAGGTTCAACACTTAGCCAGAGTCTCTTCTTCAGCTACCTGGCAAAGGCATTCCTGGCATAGGAGGTTTAAAAGTGTGATCCCTTTATATTTGAAACACACCCTTCAGTCCCCCTTCTCATCCAGGGGAACCACCACCCTGGTCCATCATCCAAAGATGTCCTCTTTCAAGGTCAGCAGCTCTCCTTTCGTACTGAAAACAGTGTTGACAAAGCACTGCTTTAACCCATGCAGGCGCCGTACGGTTTCCCAGAATTGCTTTGAGGCTAGCCAACAGTCTTTCTCCATGGCCTCTCCAAACTCTTCCCAGGCCCAAGTTTTTGTTGCAGCAACCATTTGGGCAGCAGCATGCTATGCCCCATACCTTTTCACTGCTTCAGAAGTCCCACAAGCCAGCCTGGCTTCATAGGACACCTTGTGCTTGAAAATGGTGTCCAAGTCTCAATCCGGGACTTTCACAGATGTCCAATAATAAAACGCCATTGGGGTTCAGAGCTGGGGCTCCGTTCCTCGAAGGAATGCAACCCTCTCATTAACTGATGTAAACTCCAATACGAGACGCCTGAGCAGAGTGGAGACGAGCAGGCCTAAACCTGCCCCCTGTCTCTCCCTGTGGGCTACTCCAAAGTAGAATAGAGTCCAGCCTCTCTCAAGGATTTAGATTACAGAGGTCAGGCAATTCACCTCAGACTGCTGCCCAATCCTCTCTGCACCAATGTCAATATCAAAAAGCTATTACATATAATATCATCTATAATCCATTTAATTCCTTGCAGAAGAACCAGACATCCTAATTAAAAAAGAAGGTGATAACTTAAGTGTTGAGACTAAAAGTGTCCTGCCAGCAAAGACTACATGGATGTCCAGCTCATTCAGCAACAGGTAAGAGTGATACGAAGCAGCTCAGCTCAGATACATCTGCAGGCCTGGTTGTTGAAGCTCGGTGCTCTTTATTTTACTTCAGCTCTGAAACCAACTCATCCTGGGAAGTGATTCATGAGAAACACCACACAGCTTCTGATGGCTTCTGTAACAAGAAACTTAACAGCTTTTTAAAGCTCTCTCAAGTGCCTAACAAGAAAGTAAAGTTCTGCCTGACTAATCAAGCTGGAAACTGGTGCAGTTACACTAATTTTTTTGAAGCACCCGTAATCCAAGCTTACACAGGTAAAACAAGATAAATCATATTAAAACTCACTAAAACAGGTTGGTATAACTGACATTTACCTGGTTAATGTATCTTTAGGTCATCGACCTCCTGATCATAATAACTTGCTGCTGCGAATTGGTGTATGTGTTTTACTCCTGGCTCTGCTAGTAGTCTTAGCGCTGCTCTACTATGTCAAGAAGAAGGTATGGATCATACATGGCAAACATCAGAGCGGACACAAGCAAAAAACATCAAAGTAAATGACACAGAAATATTCATTGTTTCCAAAAGAAACCCAAATACCAGCCTCAGCTGCAGATGATCCAGATGGTTGGACCTAATGACAACGACTACATCTACATCAACTTCAAGGACTTTAATTATGACAAGAAATGGGAGTTTCCAAGGGAGAACCTGGAACTTGGTAGGATTCACTATAACTCTTAGATATTCATAAAAAAAATAAAACAAACCTTCATTGACATAATACAGTTAATCACAACCCAATAATCAGTTAAGTGTATTTGTAATCAGGAGTAATAAGAGTACATATTGACGACTAGGTAAGCAAATTCATAGCATGACTATAATGGAGAAAAAGTAAATACCTTATTGTCTTTTTGCAGAGGAATGTCCATTTGTTTTTGCTGAATCAAGTAGATGTGTCTATAAATTTTTATCATCATCGTGCTAAAAGACCCAGAGAGTAAAATGTAAAAAGCGTTCTGTGATGTCAAAGAGTTAAAGATAAGTAACAACTCAAACAAGCCTTTATGGAAATTTAAGAGAAAGAGGCCCCAACCATCACAGATCATCCACCATGCATAACAGGAAGCATCAGGTGGTTTTCTATATATTTATCATTTCTTTTATACCATACCTATCAGGAGTGTTTTTAGCAAAAAATTTCAAACTTGAGGTGTTTTCACTCCCAGATGATGAGCTTAGTTCAATGGTGGGGAATGCTAAAACTGTTGACCTTTATTTGATTTGTTTCACTTTCTCAAACCTATTGAGATGGACAGCCACTTTGATTTGGTGCTATCACATGAAGCCATCATGTAAAGACGTAACTATTTCTGAATTGGTCAGTGGTAGACAGTGGTAGATATATGAAATTAGAGTTTCTCCAAGTAAGAATTTAGTCTCAGCTGCCCACAATCATTTACTCTCGATAGGTAGATTATACTTGTATAACAAATAAAAAATTATTTATAATTCTTCCTTGAAGGGGTGGTGACTGGTATAGCTCGAAAATCAACCGTGGATAATAAGAATATGATTCTTCATATCTAAATGTTCATTTCTAACGGAAATTACCGTAATGAAAGATGGATTGGTTCAAAGCCCTCACCACATCTATTCAATATGAAACATCTTGTTATAAGCAAACCAACAAGGTTTTAGCATGGTTCATGCATGTGCTAAATGCAACAGAACAGAGAAGCGATGGTGACCAGGGGACTGCAACATGTGGTTATGGTGACACAGATGCCTAAGTAGGGCGTGAACATGTTTAAATCGCACATACAGTATATATCTAAATTACAGATATAGAAACATCACTTCCTCAAAGATTTTTAGATTCCCATCTTTTTTTGATGGATAATCTGTTATTTTTCCTATCTGTGAACCAAAACAAGGATCCTTAATAACTGACTTAATAGCAGCATATTTTTACCCCTCTTTAATGGCTTGTTCTCTCGTCTTTCCCATTTTGAAGATTTCTTAAGAGAAAATGTTATCTTTACTAATACCCTTTGGAAATAGGAACTTCTAGATTACAAAATAAAATGTTATGGAATAACCTGAAAACAATAATAAAAAAGGATTTAAAAACTATTCCATAAAAGGCTATTAAGGTGTTAATATGCTCCTCCAAAAAGAAAAAAACCAAACATTGCTAACGTGGATTTAACTTTTTTATCTTATGACCTGCTTCTGCAACAAAAAAATACATATAACATGAATTGCACAATTTTTCAAAATAAGTTGATGAAATGAGATCTTTTCGATTTATTTTCTAGGTTTCTTAGGAAATGCATGGTTGTTTAGTTTTATCTCACAAACATCCGTACAGACTTGTAGTCCAAGTATTTCTATGTCCCCCCCTTTTAGGAAAAGAGCTAGGATCTGGAGCTTTTGGCATGGTGGTTCAGGCTACAGCTTATGGGATCGACAAGCCTGGAGTTTCCCAGCAGGTGGCCGTCAAGATGCTGAAAGGTCAGTGTTGGCTTTGCTCATAGCTCAGTGTCAGAGCGCCTCGCTGAATGCTTCAACCACTGATCTCTATCTTCATTCTGCAGAAAAACACCAGTCTGTGGAGAAGGAAGCTCTCATGTCAGAGCTGAAGATGCTGACTCACATCGGTCAGCATACCAACATTGTTAACCTGCTCGGAGCATGCACAGAAACAGGTTTGTAATTTTCTGTATCATTGTGTAATAGAGAGATAAATAAGTTAAACAGCAAATTGGCAATCGAAGGTGCATGACATATACCATTGTAGCAATAATAAATACCTCTTTGTAGGACCTATATACCTGATTTTCCAGTATTGCTGCTACGGAGACCTGTTAAACTATCTGAAGAAGAGTGGTGACCGTTATCACAAGTGTGTGGCCGATGCCATCAGCAGGGACCGTTTCAGCAGCCTGTACCACAACGTGCAGCCCAAGAAAAACTCCAAGTAAGTAAAAAAAAAAACTTAGAACATAATGGTTAGTAATCTATATGATCTCAACATGTTGTTTTTATACATGTGATAAATAAAAAACCACAGTGCAGAAAGTGTACCAGCATTATTATCACCCGTTTGTGTGTTTTCAGTGAAATGATAACAACAGTGGATAACTACATGCCCATGCAAGGTACAACCACAAGGGGGCAGGAGAACATCGCCCTCATCACCTTCAGCTCCAATGACAATGAAGGTAAGAGACACCACATGAGAGGATGGTGTGATCACTTGAAAAAGTACTATGGTTTCCATTGGTTTCTCATTCAAACTGAGTTTTGGTGAATCTAGAAATGTATGAGAGTGAAGATGACCAGACAGAGCAGCAGGCCCTCACATTTGATGATCTGCTCAGCTTTGCCTTTCAAGTGGCCAAAGGGATGGAGTTTCTGTCTTCCAAGAATGTAAGACACAAACTAACCCAGCATTAATTTAGTCTCTTTACAACAACAAACTTCAAAGTAGAGATGTTTTTTTTTATAATGAGAGGTCTTTAAATCTATCAACAATTTTATTGGAATAAAAATACATTTTCTTCAAATAACAGACAAGTTTACTTCTGCATGTTTTTTGTCTTCAGTGCATCCACCGAGATCTGGCAGCTCGAAACGTTTTGGTAACAAAAGGTCGGTTGGTGAAAATTGGGGATTTTGGGCTGGCCCGAGATATCGACAATGATTCTAACTATGTTGTGCGAGGAAACGTATGTGATCTGACACTAATGTAACTTCTGACCTTCATGTTTTCAGTCAGTGCTTATGAGTTTTTGTATTTCAGGTGCGTCTGCCTGTTAAGTGGATGGCCCCAGAGAGCATCTTTCAGGGAATGTACACCATGAAGAGTGACGTCTGGGCTTATGGCATTCTGCTCTGGGAGATCTTCTCACTTGGTATCTTCCACTGGATGAGCAGCAAATTCAAACACATGTTGAGCTTTTTACATTTTATTCAACATACACTGTTTGCTTCCAGGTGTCACTCCGTATCCCGGGATTAAAGTGGATCACAGCTTCTACACAATGATTGAGAGAGGATTCAAGATGGAGTGTCCGTACTATGCCAATGAATCTGTGTAAGTATCTTTAGACTGGATGCAAGGAATAAACAACAATCTATGATAATCAATTGAAAAGGAATATGATATATGAAGATGGAAATATTTAGGAAAGAAGGGTTAAGTAACACACATTACTTAAGTAAACTTTTTTTTTATGATTTCACTTTTAAAATGAGTATGAATTTTAAAAAAATCTCAATTTAATGCTTATAAAATATATTTGAGGAGGTCTGGATAAGGCATACCGGTATTTACAGACGAAGAATGTTAATTCTAAATGCAAAAATTTATTTCAAATGTTGAATTTTGATTGAATTACTGCTATGAGTCGCTCTTTTGGTAAATGGCATGATTTAGACTGTATACAGTAAAAGGTTATATGTACACTTAATTATTTGAAGATAATTAATGCATTGGGAGGAATTTATAAAGTACTCCTTGTACTTTTGCGTACTTTAAAAGGAAAATCTCCACTATGTGCTTTACCGAGATTCTCAAACAATAAAACATTAAATTGCAAATTGAGTCTAAATTCTTTGTCCCATTTTTTGCTAAATTGCTGACTTGACCATAGTGGATATGGGTATCTGTCCATTAGATGTAAGGCTGGACTATGGCTGGGTCATTTTAGCTCATGAATATACTTTTCCATTGTAAATATGCCTGTTGTCTAATGCTTTGAAACTCTGTTGCATTTTCAAATTATTTGCATTTCTTCAGGGTTATCTTCCCTTTAACTTTGACCGTCCCTTGTCCCTGTCCTTGTTCCAGCAGATGGAATATCTTGCTGTCCTTTGTGTCAGGATTCATCTCCATATGCTATATAACATCTATGTTACTCAGTTTTTACTACCACTAAACCTCTACTTGCCCTTATTGCTTTTAATATGCAGGTACAGCATCATGTGCAAGTGTTGGGCTCTGGATCCCAATAACCGTCCATCTTTCTCCAAGTTAGTGGACTTTATGAGTGACCAGCTGATGGACATGGAGGAGAAGGTATCCAGCTTCAGTTTCACTAGATTATGATTTTAATTGTGAAAATATTCTCCTCCAAGACCAGCTGCAATTGAAAAGCACTGCCAATAAATCTATAATTCTAGATTATCTCTCTTTGTCCTAAATATATTTCCACAGCTCTACCAGAACATGCATGACCAGAATTCCAGTGACTATCAGAATGCATCGACCATTGTGGACATTTCAGCCTCGGTAAAAGAAAATGGTAACCAGGCGGAAGCTGTGAGTGACTACCGCGAAGCCACCGCAAGAGAGGAAAGCAATGTGGAGGCATTAAAGTCAGAGTCTGCTGTGGGAGAGGAGGAGGAGCCTCTGAAGCCATCTGTTGGAGAGTGATCTCCTCAAGCTATCCACACCATATATAACAATATACTTATTTTCTCATCATAACCATATAAATATTATAATGGCTTTATATTTATCCCCAAATAAACTCAGTGTTTAGCAGCATTTATCGAACATAACTTACAATCATGTAGAAATGCTGAATTGTACATGAATATGCAGATTGTCTTGTGCACCTGAAACAGAAATAATTGTTTCATAATGGGATTATAAGTGTTCTCAGTGCAAAACGACATCCCCATAGCATAATGCTGCCACCACCATGCTTTTTGGTGGGGATGGTAAGCTCAGAGCCATGTGTGGTGTTGTTTTTGCCAAATTAAATATGGTACAAATAGGTAAAAGTGTTCACTATATATAATGTCAAATTAACTTAATATTCTACTCGTTAAAATCATCGAAGTATTTTGCTGGCTTTACATTATATTTTGAATATTAAACATTTTATACTTTTTTTTAGGCTGAATTAAACATATTTTATGTAGCATTTATTTAATATATTTTAAATGTAGTTTTGGATATCTTTGTAACATAATTTTTAAGAAAGCATTATTTTGTATGAATGAAGAGAGTTTATTGACACAGCTGAACCTGAAATATACTTTTCATGAGAAAAGCATTCTCACATTACAGTGTTACTTTAAAAAGGTACAAATTTTATTCCATTTTAATTTAAAAAGATAATATTTTTCTAAACTATCAGTTTTCAGGTTTTCTTCTATATCAAACTAATCAGTTTTCACATCAGGTACTACAATTTTTTAATCGCATCGTTACAACATATCACTTTATCATTATTTTTACTAGCTGCTGTATTAACATTTCTATACTGTACTTCATTATCTCATTTATTACAGCAATACAAATACTTTACAATACAATAAAGAAAGATCATCTGGAATGATTTATGATGTTCATGCTTTTTGTGCTTCTCAAATGATTTGATGTATTATTATTATTCATTATTTTAAGAGATTGAGCGCTCCCTTTTTTTGTTTATACTCTAATTTGAAGATCACCATATTTTTAATTTACTAAGATTTAGATCAATAGTTTAGATTTCCTTAAGTACAAAAGTACTTAAGGAAGTCCTTAAGTAACAGTCTAATTTTTATAGCTTTCCTTTGTATTTTTTTATTTTATTTTATTTTTTTTTTTTGCAAAAGTTCACCAGATCTGTAAAACTAGGGGTGAAAGTAGACTTAAATTCTTGCTGGTACTTTATTAAAAACGTTTTTTGGCCTATATTTGTTTATACACTCTGCATGAATTTTAATACAAACCAATACAAACTATATAGCTACACAGACACAAATAAAAACCTCTTCCTCACCAACCACGAGCGGTCTCCATTTTGTCCTCCAAGCTGGGGTCCTCTACCAGAGGCCTGGGAGCTTGAGGGTTTTGCACAGTAGCTTTTCTGTTCCTACAACTGCCCTTTTCTTGACCTAGATGTCTGATGTATTTCCAGGGATCTGCTGTGACCAGTCCTCAAGTTTAGGGGTCACTGCCCCGAGTGCCCCAATTGCCATGGGTACCACTGATGCCTTGATCTTCCAGGTTTTCTCCAGCTCTTCTCTGAGCCCCTGGTATTTCTCTAGTTTCTCGTGTTCCTTTTTCCTTATGTTGCTGTCACTTGGTATTGCTATGTCAACTACAATGGCTTTCCTCTGCTTTTTGTCCACCACCACCACAATTTCCGGTTGGTTAGCCATTACCATTCGGTCCGTCTGTATCTGGAGGTCCCACAGGATCTTGGCTCGATCATTCTCTACCATCTTTAGGGATGTTTCCCACATTGACCTTGGGGCTTCCAATCTATACTCTGCACAGATGTTCCTGTACACTATTCCATGTAAGCTTTTCCCTGCCAGCATCTTACACCCTGCAGTCATGTGCTGGATTGTCTCAGGGGGCTCTTTGCATAGTCTGCACCTGGGGTCTTGTCTGGTATGTTAGGTCTGGGCCTCTATTGCTTCAGTGCTCAGAGCATGGTCCTGTGCAGCCATGATGAGTGCCTATGTGCTGTCCTTCAGTCCGGCTTTGTCTAGCCATTGGTAGGATTTCCTGATATCCGCCACTTCAATTATGTTTTGGTAGTACATCTATGAAGATAATTTTGTTTCAAAACTGTTTGTGCATCGTAACTGTGAAGTCTACGTTTTGTATTTGTAGAAGGAAAATAAAAAATTCACAAGTACAAATTTTTTTTTACACCTGTTCAAATTTTAAGTACAAGTACACAAATTCTGTTCTACAAAATGCACATACATATGGTGATGCACATACATTGCGCATACATATGGTAATGCACATACATATGGTGATGCACATACATATGTCTAATGCACATACATTTCTTCATGCAGACAGCAACCTTAAGTTATACACATAAAAAACATTTTGTTCCTGGCACCTGCAAAGGAATACTTTCAAAAGAGTTTACTAATGATAATAGGAAGAATAAAAAAGGTTTATAAAGGTCTTAAAGTCCGTCCCTTTAGTTTAGCACCACATTACCCCTAATGCATCTGTTCATTTTGTAGTTTCAATTTTACGTGGCTGAGCAAGTCGTTTTTCTGGTTTACTGGGAGGCATAAAACTAACATCCACGGATAGCATCCACTATTAATCCTTCCTTAATCCTGTGTGTATGAAACCTGTGTGCGTTTTTTAACAATGTGAGTATACATTTCATGTCTGATATTTGTGTTTTATGTTGTTAGCCCAGGAGGTGAAACTTGTTCTGCTGTTTCTGGTTACCGACAATGTAAAAGTTTACTTATAGTAAGACATCCCAAGTCTCCCAGAAGTTCAGGGAGTCTCCCTGCTATCGATAGTTGTTCACGGATGCCCATGAGTCAGATAAATGATCCCGGATTTTAGATTATGAGAAGTGGTGTTTTTTTAATGCGAGTTAGAGCGGGCAGGTAAAACAATAATTAATGCAACATGTGCGGATTAGAGCTGCAACAAGAGAGAGCGGGGTGTGGTGAGGAGGTTGCTGGTGAAACCTGAGCAGATAATCTGTCCAAACCTCTGTTCCAAGGGCGTTGGTTTGATTTCAGCTTTGGTATGTCACTGGTCCTATGCAAAAATATGCATGCTCGTTTTTTTATGCCTTTTTAACCCTGCCTGAAAACCAGGGTGTATTTTGTTTAAAGAGAAAAGCAGCATTTCTTGCTACATTTGTACATATTTTATAAGCGCTACACACACTAGATGCTGTTTATCAATGTTTGAAGCATCATCAGCTCTGATGAATGAGGCATTAAGACTTTTTTTCCCACTTTGAAAAGGTTTGCATTTGAAATTACCAGCGACTAAGACAGAAAGTAAATCTGTGCCTATTTAACAAAATATAGTCTAAATATGTCTGTTATATGTGGATTTATCCTGTTGTTTGTTTTTAAGATATACAATTGTGCAGAGGTAAAACCCACACTTATCTTTTAAATATTCTCTCTGTATCATAAAACAAAGCAAAATAATAGATTCAAGGGACATCAAATAAATGTATTGTATTATGAGCACTGTAATAGAGAGCTGCATGAAGTGAAATTTCTTTTCAATTAGATTCGATAAAAATTCCAGTTCTTATGAGGTCAATATACATTTATAATTTAGGAATTTTACATATTTTTGACTTAATTTAAGTAAAAAAAACCTACAATTAGGTTAGAATTCAAGAAAAACTGTTAAATTCATTTGTAAAAATTAGAGCATTTTTTTCTATTTGTTGTGAAGAACAAAAAACATTTAGCAGATGAAAACTGGGATCCCATCTCAGTACCACTGAAGCTATCACCTTATTGTTTTTAAATAATTAGTAAAACAGAATTTGTAAAGAAAAAGAATGAAATAGATCCAAATGACCTATCAGTAACCGGCTGTCCCAGCGCACGTCATCATTAGAATTTCTTTTAAGTATTATGTCTTTAGTACAGGGGCCATAACAGGGGCCAGGACATGATCTACTGGGGCCCAGGTTGGCCCCTGTCTAGAACCGGCCATGGTGAGGAATGATGACACCGTGGCGAGGTGCACTGTATGCTGAAGTCCCATGAAAAACAGAACCGATGTTCAAGGCTACAAGATTGAAAGCATTAAAAATAAAAGACTAATACTGTTCTGTTTAGTGTTTAAGAAATTACTGTTAGTTAATAAAAAGTTGATGAAAAGTTGCTGGACTTAGGTGTTTTTTAAAAGTTTTTATATGAGGACATTATTATGGAAGCCCGTTTCCGCCACTCTGTTAAAAAAAAAAAAAAAAAAAAAAAAACTATCTCAATATAATGAGATAGTAACTCAATATAATGAGATAGTATCTCATTATATTTAGTTACTATCTCATTATATTGAGATAGTTTTTTTTTTTGTTTTTTTTTTTTTACAGAGTGGCGGAAACGGGCTTCCATACATTTCCGTTCATTTAATATTTTTCGTTGTTTTTATGTCATTTTGGTATGTTTTTTAATTTGACCGATAATGCATGTGTGTGTGGTGTTATGGCGCCCTCCAGTGGATTTCTATGATACTACAGGCCCTTTTCTTCCTGCATCTATGTGTAGCAGTTTTGCTTGCATATCTATAAATATGCACCTTTATTATTTCTTCTGTTTCAGATAACAACACACCCACATACATATACCTACGAAACCAAATATAAGCCCCTCATCATCATCTGTACCATCATCTCCAATTTACCTGCTTCTATTCCATCAATAAACCTTCTAAGCTGCACCAAATGAGTTGACATATTCCGTCTGACCGAGGAAACGTACGCAGTCTTCTGCAACAGGATAAGATGAAATGAAATAGAATAGCTCCAACATCACAGACCACATCACCTGGACTATAAACAGCACCTCACTGGTCAAAAGGGCACAAAAGTGCATGTACTTCCTGCGGAGGTTGAGGAGAGCCCACCTGTCCCCACTTATCTTGCTGTTGCTTTGCTAGTAGGAAAAGAGTACAGCCTCAAGAGTGATCATTTCCTGAAATTATACTGGTTCATACATGCTGGCTCACAGCACAGCAGTTTAACAGTGGAGTTTGTGACTGAACGTGTAGCCCAGGGTGTCAGGAACGATGATGAGGAGCAAGATATATAGAGTTGCAGGTAAGAGGCAGCATTTACTAAAGAAAGAAAAAAATATGTAGCTATTTGACACCTTCTCAATCAAAGACTTTTCTTTATTTTCATGACTAAAAATTGTAGATTCACATTGAAGGCATCAAAACTATGAATAAACACATGTGGAATTATATATTTAACAAAAAACTGTGAAACAACTGAAAATATGTCTTATACTCTGGGTTCTTCAGAATATAAGACGTGGGATTTCTTGCCTTATAAATACGGTTGAGACCATTAGTTGTGTTGTGCAGAAGTCAGGTAGATACACAGCTCATACTCCTGCTGAATAGACTGTTAGAATATGTGTTATGGCAAGAAAAAAGCAGCTAGGTAAAGAAAAACAAGTGGCCATCATTACTTTAAGAAACTGGCAAAACTTTGAAAGTGTCCCCAAGTGCAAAAACCATCAAGCGCTACAAAGAAGCTGGCTCACATGAGGACTGACCCAGGAAAGGAAGACCAAGAGTCACCTCTGCTATGAAGTTCATCCGAGTCACCAGCCTCAGAAATCACAGGTTAACAGCAGCTCAGATTAGAGACCAGGTCAATGCCACAGAGTTCTAGCAGCAGACACATCTCTAGAACAACTGTTAAGTGGAGACAGTGAATCAGGTCTTCATGGTAGAATAGTTGCTAGGAAACCACTGCTAAGGACAGGCAACAAGCAGGAGAGACTTGCTTGGGCTAAAGAACACAAGGAATGGACATTAGATCAGTGGAAATCTGTGCTTTGTTCTGATGAGTCCAAATGTGAGGTCTTTGGTTCTAACCATCATGTCTTTGTGCAACGCAGAAAAGGTAAACGGATGGACTCTACTAGCCTGGTTCCCACTGTGAAGCATGGAGGAGGAGGTGTGATGGTGCTTATCTGGTGACACTGTTGGGGATTTTTTCAAATTTGAAGGCATACTGAGCCAGCATGGATACCACTGCGTCTTGCAGTGGCATGCTATTCCATCCGGTTTGTGTTTAGTTTGGCCATCCTTTATTTTTCAAACACAGCTCCAGGCTGTGTTTGGGGTCATTGACCAAGAAAGGAGAGTGATAGGGTGCTGCGCCAGATGACCTGGCCTCCACAATCACCGGACCTGAACCCAATCGAGATGTTTTGGGCTGAGCTGGACAGCAGAGTGAAGGCAAAAGCTTCAACAAGTGCTGAGCATCTCTGGGAACGCCTTAAAGACTGTTGGAAGACCATTTCAAATGACTACCTCTTGGAGCTCATCAAGAGAATGCCAGTGTGTGCGAAGCAGTAATCAAAACAAAAGGTGGCTACTTTGAAGAACCTAGAACATAACACATATTTTCAGTTGTTTCACAGTTTTTTGTAAAGTATATAATTTACATAATGTGTGTGTGTGTGTGTGTGTGTGTGTGTGTGTGTGTGTGTGTGTGTGTGTGTGTGTGTGTGTGTGTGTGTGTGTGTGTGTGTGTGGAGGGGGGGCCATATTTACATATGTATTGATGGCTGTATAAGTAGGTCTATATTAAATATACTAATACACGAATAGGTTTAAAAATAAATACATTAAAGCTGTTCAAAAATTCAGAACACTTCTCAGGGAGAAGTTCTCATTATGCCTTGCAAAACTGCTCACATCCAATTGGCTTTTTTTTTTTTTATTCTGATATGCAAGCTCATGTAAGCTGAAGTCTTTCAGCTCAAAATGTAAATATGACGTGAAATGGATTTAACGTCATATTTACATTATTATCCATTAATGGATAGAAACATTAATGGATTTATGTTTCTATCGGATTCAGCGTAGGGGAGTGGGATGGGAGGGATTTTGCTGTATGTCTATATTTGCCTTTTGTACGGTTGCTATTACCTCCACCAAGGAGGTCTGCATTGTGGTACCTTTTCAAACTTCCTTTAAATGTGTCTAAGCAATATTCTTTTTGTCTTTTCAGCTGTTTTTCTGCTGTGTGCTGTTCTTTGCTCTGCGGATGTTATGAATCAGAACTGTGTTTCCAGTTGGAAGGTAAAAAAAAAAGTTTAACTTTAACACCTCCTGTCTTTCCAATGTTATTTTATGTCATGCATGTCGGGAGCTCTCTTGTACTATGCTCCATTAGACAATGTATTTTAACATTTGTTGTCTTCATAAAGGGTTAAAAATTCCTTCCTACATTTTGGGAAGCAACCACCTCATTACTGCTTTAGTACAAAGATGAAACCATAAGATAAAGGTTGATTCCTGCCTTTCAGGTGAATTGTTTTCATCCAGCTGACCACATGAATGCCTCTGATCCTGTCAGCTTGAAGGTGTCATTTGGTCAAAAACTCGTCGTCTCTTTGGATGGCCTCCCTGATGCCACCGTCTGTCAGTGGAGTGGAGCTCAAGGCTCTCTGCTGAAAATGTAATCATAATATTGTTTTAATGAGGGGTTGGAGTATCCTCAATTTTAATCATTCAAATTGTGACATCTTCTTAAATGACTCCAGAGAAGAGGGTGTCTCCACGGTCATTCCACAAGCTTTAAGGAAAGATTCTGGAACATACAATCTGGGCTGTGAAAGTCTGAATGGGACCAGTTTCTCAATAACTGTTGATCTTCATGTAGGTGGTGAGTAGCAGCTTTGTTCCTTTTAATCTTCTTCTTTGCACAACAGGGAGGGAAAAAATGTCTTTTTACAAATGCGTTATTTAAATGAAAACCATGTTAAACCGTTTGACTCACGTTTCTCAGAATGTCCATCAAAACCACAGC